GAGCTGAAGCGCACAGGGATAGCGCTCAGGCCCAGAGTTCAAGCCCCACACCGGTAAGTTGCAAGGTGCTTTCTCACTCGTTCCTCCGTCATCGGGCAAGAGCCACCCAGCTCCCTACTACAGGTCATATCTCAGGCATAACCAGTAATGACAGACTCACTTCCCGGCTTCACGAAGTTTACCAGTGGGCAGACTAGCCCAAGCTCCACATAAATGGGGAAAAGTGTTATGGAAGGGTGCCTGACCTAGCCAGAGACAGAAGCAGACTTCTTGAGAGTGCTGTGATGGGAACCACTGGCTAGAGTGTAAATGGAGGCACTGGTAGTGAAAGGAGGCTGAAAACATGGTAGGTTCGTTCAGAACCTAGGAAAGACCCCAACCTGGACGATTCCTATGTGAGCTCTAAAGGGGAGAAGGGTACTACACAGAAAGAAGGATGGCAGGTACCACTGCTTTTGTTCCTGTGGCCTGAGCATCTGCAAGGAAGGTTGCCTCATTACCTTTAGACATATGTACAGCAACAGAGTGAAGAGGTGCGTGGACAGATGCAGAGGTCAGAAGATAACATGGTTGCTGAGAACACAACTGGAGATGCTGGCTCAGGCCACTGGAAGATGTAGTGCCACCTGAGAAGGGATGTTAAGACAGGGAAGCTGTCACTGACTGCTGTTCGGTGTGAACAGGGACACTTACAAGACTACCCCCAGAGGACAAACTGTGGGGCAGAGGGAGGCTCCTAGGGTCCACATGAATGGAAAAGGAGAGGGCACATGCTGGAAGATTACACTGCAAGGAAGTCTGAGGGAACAAACTTGAAAACTGCAATAAAAGGAAAACTGCTACTCTCAGGACCCAGTATATGCAACCAGCTTGTGAGTCATTACTCATAGGTCTGCATCTTCCCATAAATTTTCTATAATACATATGCATGTATGTGTCTATACACCCTGAAAGTTCAGACTGCAAGCTTACTCTGCACTTTGAACTTCCTCTTACATGTGAACACTTGAATATCAGAATTCCATGATGTGGAATTAGTACAGCTTAACCATTCCACTGATGGACAATTTAGTTTGTTTCTGCCCTTTCTTCTTTACAGCAAATCTGTGATGATTACTTTTCTGTCTGAGCAGGTCTATCTGTAGGATGTAGGGTTAGAGGTGAAGAACATCCCCATTTTGCATTTGGGTAGACATGGACATTCATATCTCCTTTTAATGCCAGAAGAAATGGTCCAAGAGAAGAAGTGTTAAAGGCCAGGACCTTCCTACCCAGCTCCCTGAGACTGCCCACCTCTGCTCAGATTGACACAACCTGCCACACACAGGGCTTCAAGTACACAGTTGTGGGGCCTGGAAGTCCGGGTGCCAGACAATCTGGTTCCTAGCAAGAATCTCCTGGCTGGCAGACATCTTTTCACTGTGTCCTCACCGGGTAAAGAGGTGCTTTTATCTCTTCTTATAAGAACATGAGTCTGTGACACCAGGACCTACCATCCTGGCCACAGGTGACATGAATCAGTATCCCAGATGAGCCCTCACTGAGGTAAGAGTGACATATATGCATTTTGGAATGAGGGCATAATCCAATCTAAGAAAGGCCCAACCTCTATGCCTAGGTTGACACAAGAACCTCCTGTGAAACCTGTCATTCCATGTTTTTGATTCTGGGAATTATGGACCTACGTGATGGCCATTCTTGACTGCGGACAATCACACTTAGCAGACTGTTCTTGACTGGTTCTGGATCCTTTGTTCTGGAAGTCTCTGGAGCAAAGACCTGGTAGACATAAGCACCTAACCTTCAAGGGTTCCACTCAGAGGCTACTAAACTCTACCCCTCAGGCTAAATAAGGCTTGTTCATAACTTTATTGGAATATAGCCCTACCTGTCTGTTTATAGCAACTCTTCTGCATGAGAATAATTAAAGATGACTAAAATGGCAGGCACTGGTGGCTCATACCTGTAATCTTAGCTACTCAGAAGGCTGAGATCTAAGATTTGTGGTTTAAAGTCCTTAAGTCTCTTCTCTCCAGTTAACTACCAAAAAGCCAGAATTGGAGCTGTAGCTCAAATAGAGTGCTACTCTTAAGCATAAAAGCTCAGAGACAGCACCTGAGCCCTGAGTTCAAGCCTCAAGATTGGCACGGGTGCTTATGCACGCGTGCACGCGCGCGTGTACACACCGTGCGCGCGAGTACACACACACACACACACATCTGTGTAAAAGGATTACTAAAATGTATCATGGCTTTGCTATTTTTCTAAGGGTGGACTAGCTATGTTACATTTCACAGAGACCTCTGTCTCTTTTGTGATACAAGGCTTATTTACACGTGTGTCTTTCTTTTAGATGTATAACAGTGAAGAGTTCTGGGAGAAATTTAGAAACTTTACATGGGAAACAAATTGTTGACACTAAGAAGATTGGGGTAGTTACATTCAAGAAGCTTCTAGCTTTCCACCAAAATGCAACCCAGCAAAAACATGGCAAGAGAAGGCAGTCAGCATTTTTCTGAGCTTAACCGAAGGGGCAAGATAAAAAGATGAAGATTGAAACTGAAATTTCACACAATAGTCACTACCATTTGACCTCACCTATATCTTAGAACTGTTTCTGAGGGGTACATTTAGTTAAGAGTGACAATGACCCAAAGATAGCCCCATATCCTGTGCCTAGGTCATCCTGTCCCCAGTAAACACCATGGTTACAGACCACAGCACATTTGTCCAAGGGAGTGGAACTATTTTCATCTAGGCAGTGGTCACACTGTGCACGGAGGAGCAGCAGCAAATGTGGGTTCTACATCGAGTAAGGACTGTCAGAACGGCTAAGCATGCAGATGTGGCAGGCTCAGCTGCTGTGGCAGTGGTCCAAAGGCCATGAGGTAGAGGTAGGTAGAGGGAGGAGGGTGTCAGGGAGATGCAGCCCCACATACCATCTGCTTGTGGACACATAAATCCCAGAGTGGATGTTATTCTGACAACACACTAAAAAGGGCTTAGAATTCACAGACACAGTATGAATTTTCTCATATTTGTATTTTTCTACCTTCCAGTGGATGTCACTTTGTTTTGGCTAAATGATAAGTACCAGTGAGGGCAAATCTATAAAAATTCTGACTTGCAGTTGGCATGTCTCTCTAGCATTTACTGAAGTCACACGAGAGACATTCATTCCTATGGACTCCTGTCCCTGTGCCAGCCTACAGGCTGAGAGCAGTCACTGTGTCATTCCTTCTTTTCAAGGCCAGCCCCTGGTGATGGTTCACCTTCAAGCTGCTCAGGCTTCAGCCCCTTAGTGGGGCCTACCACAAGCAAGTTTGGAGGTAAGCTAGCGCCTCTACAGGCCCATCAGTACTCTTGCAGGACAAAAAGGCAAGTCACACTCCCCAGGGATCGCAATACACGTGAGCTAACATATACTGCTATAGCCTATGATATAGCCTGCCAAGGAGAATCAGTCCTGTGGCTAAACATCAATCCTTTTCTGTCAGAAAAAGAAAATCATCCCCTTTCACTGCTTTCTGAGGCAAAGGCCAGGAAAAGGAAGACTGCTGGTATTTTAAATAACTTGATGGGAAACAGAAGTTAGAATCTGTGAAAATGCCACTACTCAAGCCATGAACTCTATGGACGAAGCATGAGGACATGAAATGGGACAGAACCTAGACCTCAGAAGTCTGAAGACGGATTATTTAGCACTTGAAAGGCACAACACCCAGACCTGAAGGGACTGAGTTTTAGATCTAAGAACAAAACCAGCTTCTGGTAATAAACAGCTGACCCTTGGTATCAGGAGGTTCCACATCTGCAGGTTCAACTAACTGCAGATTGAAACTATTTGGGGAAGAAAACTGCACCTGTACCAAAAACCTAGTTTTCATTTTTATTATTCCCTGAACAATACAAGGAGAGACTACTTACAGTGTTTGCATTGTGTAAGTAATCCAGAAATGTTAAAATTCTATACAGGAAGGTGTGTGGGAGTCCCATGCAGATTGTACATAATGCACTTAAGCACCAAACTTTGATACCTGTGGATCCTGGCATGGAGGAGCAATGATTCCTACCTTGAATCTGGCAGTGCCCCGTCATAAACACCACCTATAAATACTACTTATTACTTTACTATATTGGAAGTAGGATAAAAACAATGACTAAATTAAGGATATGAAGATCAACAGCCAGAACTGAGACTCAACTAGCAACAGTGGGACAGTGAAATCTCTGGACAGGCCAGCCTGGAAATTTACAACCTAGGAGTAGGCTTCCTACTCAATATCCTTTCAGCAAGATACTTATAGGCAGCTTCTTTCCCTTGTGAGAAGTCCAGCTAATAAAAGTAGAGAAGGTTCAGGGGCCCTGGTTGGAATCCCTGAAGCAGAGACAGGAATGCAGGGCCAATGCACACCCTCCAGGGGACACAAAGGTAAGCATCCTGAGCCACCCACTGAAGTGGTGCCACAAAAAAGGTCAGGTAGCCCAGAGAAGCTGACGAACAACCTCTCCAGTGTTCCAGAGGTCCAGAAGTCACTAAGGTCTCCAGATGCACCTGCACAGCCAGATGTAGCACCCAGCTAAAGCCCACGTTTCACAGTAAGCAAAATCCTTTTCCTGGTGAAAAGCAAGTTTGTTATCTGAGAGGAGGAGAGAGTAGATTCATCCTGGGTTTACTTCCAGGTTTGGTGTGCACTAGAGGAGCAAGAATGCTTTAGAAAAGCTGGGCACCAGTGACTCATGCCTGTAATCCTAGCTACTCAGGAGGCTGAGAGCTGAGAATCAGAGTTCAAAACCAGCACAGGGAGGAAAGTCTCTGAGACTTTTATCTCCAATAGACAACCAAAAAGATGTAAGTGGAGCTGTGTCTCAAATGGTAGAATACTAGCCTTGAGTAAACAAAAACTCAAGGACAGTGCCCAGGTCCCAAATTCAAGCCCCAGGATGGCACCCTTCCACCCCTCCCTTCCCCACAAAAAAAGCTGTAGAAGACTCTGACCTTCAAAAAGTAAGGGGAGGAATGGGACCCAGATGACATCATGGTCAGATTGCTAATGTCATTATATCAGCTGGATGGTTTTCATCACAAAAGCTAACTCAAAGGGTGATGGAGGGGAGTCATGTGTGACAGGTAGAAATGAAAACATAGTGGCTGGGGCAGGTCTATTTCCTGGAGTTGTTCATCTTATAAAAGCCAAGCAGGACCTTGCCTTCACACCAGACCCGAGCAACCAGGCAGACTGTTCTTCTCTGTGTACTAGAACCAGCCATTGTTGAAGCATGAACTCCCAGCAGCAGAAACAGCCCTGCACTGTACCTCCTCAGCTGCAGCAGCAACAGGTGAAACAGCCTTGCCAGCCTCCACCCCAGCAGCCATGCGCCCCCAAAACCAAGGAGCCATGCAACCCTGTTGTTCCTGAGCCCTGCCACCCCAAGGTGCCTTGAGCCCTGCCACCCCAAAGCACCTGAGCCCTGCCACCCCAAGGTGCCTGAGCCTTGCCCCTCAACAGTCACTCCAGCACCAGCTCAGCAGAAGACAAAGCAGAAGTAATGTCTGCAGCCATGCCCTTGAAGAGCCGATTGCCAGATGCTGAGCCTTCTCCTCCATAAATCCCATGTGGCCACTTGACCTTGAAATTAGCATGCTGTCAGAGTTATAATCCTTCTCCCTCTGCATCCCTCCAAAAGATATCCCTTATACTCATTCTGGTGTTTTCCTGAGCCTCTAAATATGGATGAGAGTCTCACTGAATGAGCTAGTCTTCCCATGGCTCAGGGTTCATCTGAAGAGAGATCAAGTGAATCTTCCCTGTCCTGCTCTCATTAAATCACTGTTAACTTAAAAAAAAAAAAAAAGTAAGGGGAGGGCTGGGAATGTGGCTTAGTGGTAGAATCCTTGCCTAGCATGCATGAAGCCCTGAGTTCAATTCCTTAGTACCACATACACAGAAAAAGCCAGAAGGAGTGCTGTGGCAAAAGAAACTCAGGGACAGTTCCCAGGCCCTGAGTTCAAGCCCCAGAACTGGCAAAGAATAAAAAATAATAAGACAAAAAGTGAGGCTATGTCACATGAGACCTACAAAGGCAGAGTACAACCCTGGACCTCTACAAACTCAGGCAGGCTATTCTTCATTTAATAAAATATTTCAGATTATTAAAAGCAGCTGTGCAACTTTAAAGCACAAATGTACACTCCTGGTGCAGACCGATGGTGAGGATGGGCCCAGGTGAACTCTGAGTGCCAAGCTGTCACCCCGTCTGCATCTGTTGTTCTTGTCCTCTCGGCTATCTCCACAGAAGAATGTGCTCACTGGCTCCCCTTCTTCCCTCTTGTATTAAGTGAATCCTTTCCCCTGTGCTGGTTCATCTTCATTCCTGGAGAACCTGGTGGGCTTGGTGTGAGTGTTGTGCTTTCGACCATCCAGAGGGCATCTCAGTGTTTCAGGTTCTTTCTCTGACAATTCCCCAAGTCCCTCTTTATCACTGCCATCCAATGACCAGTGACCTGGCAGGAATATCCACATGAGAGAGTTACTCATTGTCAGTGTTCTTCTACGCTCCACATACGGCTGTAGGAGCTGAGTTCACCACCACACTGCTGCGTCTGGCAGCAGTGGTCACATAACAAATACACTACAAACCACTGAAAAGATGAACAAACTGCAATACTGATTTATGCCATTATGCTTGAGTGACAGACAAGGAGTAAGTAAGACTCTAAGGTACTATACACAGTCTTCTAAATAGCTCTCCAAAATAAGTGCAGATGAACTTAATGAGACATTCCTTGGAGCCCAGATACATGTGTACTAAGATGCAGTCCTGTCTGCTCCAAACATAGCCAAGTTCACTGAAGTTTAATAATGTCAGATAGCTTTAAACACATACCTAAATATTAATGAACAGTAAATAATTAGCTGTTTGGTTCTTGAAGTCTTTGCCTACTTGACCCGCAAATCCATACACTCCATCTGGGGCTTGTCCATATGAACATCAGGTGAGACCACGAGGACGCCATGCCAGAGATGGCATCAAGTGCTGCTGTACTGTAAACAATGACACAAAAACACTGTGTACAAACCTCAGGGTACAAGATCATGGAAGTGGTAATGGAGTGAGGGGCAGGAGCCCTGGGTTAGGCAAGCTTGGCTGTGAGTTGCAGATGGAATGTTGTGGCAAGGGGCCTTATCTGCTCTTTGCACCAATAAGTTCACCCCATGGAGTCACCTATGAGCAGGGAAAGAGACAAGACCAGTAGGAAGCAGGTCCACAGAGAAAAATCATAGCACTTAAGAACTGGATATCCCTGAAAGAGTTTGAAATATACAATTCTAGATAACTGAATTTTTAAATAACAGATAACTGTAGGTGACTGGAAGAACAAATAGGTACAAAAATCTCAAAACAGGAAAACAACAAACCTGTAAAAAACTATGCAGGAAGAGAGACTGGGAGAGCAGATAAAGACCTCAGTGCAGATGAGGAGCTAGGAGAGGAAAAGCTAATGGGTGAAAGAAGAGTTCACATAGGCAACAGTTGAAGAATAGAGAAACTTCTTGATTTAAAGGTAGATGTGATTGTACAGTCAACATTTACAAAGATCTTGGCATGACTAATGGGAAACAAACAACTGCTATCATATCCTGACAACGCTTCCAGATCCCAAGTCTAAAGTGAGGTCTACACACTCACTGATGATGTGACTTCATGATGAAGGTCGTAGAAACGAGGCATGCTCACTTCTCCCTGGGCACTTCTGGTGGGTTCTCCAGGGGCTTGACTTTCAAGGTTGTACAGGGGGCATATGTTTCCTGTTTTTCATCTCCAGTACACATTTCTTCACCTTTTTGTTTTGGTTTCTCTGTGGTTGGTTCCTCTCCCTTTTCTGGTTTCTTAAGAAGCTGAGAAATTTTAACATTGGTAAAATATTAGTCAAGAGCATGTTACAAAAATAACTTGCCTAAATGGTTAAAAAATATGAGCCTAAATGTTTGAATAACAAAATAATTTAATCTGTAAGTTCAAAATATTTTTTAAATTATTTATTATTGTTTTTAGAGGTGATGTACAGAGGGCTTACCTTTATATACATCAGGTGATAACTACATTTCTTTTCTTTTGCCTAGTGTCAACTGTGCCCTCAGTGTCTCATTCCCTCCCTTCCACCTCCACCCATGAGTTGCTTGAGAAACCAAGTTTTTTGATATGCAGTTAATCAAGGACATATTTATAGTTATGAAAAGTATGTAGGTCTATTAATGTTAGAGTATTTATAGCAATAATAGAGGATTACAAAATAAAATGTGCACTATCATTTGATTTTGATTTACATGTCAGTCTCCACACATACAATGCTAAATGGGGCTATACTCTGAAAAACACAATCAGGTGATTTCATCCTTGTGCCAAGGTGAGTGCCTTTACACAAAGTTATTAGAGGAGGTAATCTCACATCCCTGTTGATAGTTCACAGGTTCGTGTGTTGGGTACTTGTTCCTGCTGGTACTGTTTGTGGAGGAAATAGACCAATGGGGTGGGTCCTTGGAGGCTGAACCTTGACCTGGCTCTTCCTGAATTCTGTTTGCCATGAGATGAGTAGTTTTGTAGCCTTTATTACATACTCTTACCACCAGGATTTTTAAAAACATATGATACCTTTAATTCAGGAATTTAATATGCTATCCAAGGGTCAGCGTTTCCAAGGAAGTACTCATGTATGAATGTATTTTACATTTTAGAATAAATAAAAAGCAGTATGCTGGTGACACTATGATGTCTTGCCTCATGACAGACAGGCCCAGAATCAACAGTCAAAGACTGAACTGAAATCTCTGAAACTGTAAGGCAGATAAATCCTTCTATCATTTGTTTTCTCAGGTATTTTGTTTACAGTGCTGCAAAAGTAATTAATACAGTTGGACATCTGTGGCTCACACCTGTAATCCTAGCTATTTTGGAGGCTGAAATCTAAGGATCACAGTTTGAAGCCAGTCAAGGTAGCAAAGTCCTTGAGACTCTTATCTCCACTAAACTACCAAAAAAAGACAGAAGTGGAGCTGTAGCTCAAGTGGTAGGGTGCTAGTCTTGAGCATAAAAGCTCAGGGAATGAGCCCAGCCCCAAAGTTCAAGCCCCAGGACTGGCAAAAAATAACAACAACATGGCTCGGAAGGTGGCTCAGTAGTAGAGTGCTTGCCTTGCATGCATGAAGCCCTGGGTTCGATTCCTCAGCACCATATTAGCAGAAAAAGCTGGAAGTAGCATTGTAACTCAAGTGGTAGAGCGCTAGCCTTAAGCTAAAGATCTCAGGGACAGCGCCCAGAGTTCAGGCCCCACGACTGACCAAAAAACAACAACAACAACAATAAAAGTAACAACTATAGTCATCATACGGCAGTCAAGGTACCCCCACACAAGCACAAGCACACTGACTCCATCTGAGGACACTGCAACACATGGACTAGTTCATCTTTAAGAGGCAGAGCTGACTTTCGTCTGTGGATTCCAGTTCCTCCAGAATAAGTATTACTTTTGTAACAAGAAAAAAACTAAAGGTTTACACTGATAATTTTTACAACAGTTTATAGGGCTTTAAAATATTTTAGCTGACATTATAGAGGTTTTAATGGCTTTTCTAAATAACTGCAGAAGAACACTTTTGACAAAAATGACTTTGAGAATGTAAATCAGACAATGAGTTAGCTAGAAAATGCAAACCTGTGGCCATAAGATTTACAAGATGTATTCCAATTTTTCCCTGTTTATGAAATAAGAGTTGAAATCCTCTGTTCCTCTGTCTCCCAAGTGCTGGGATTATAGGCATGCACCATTATGCTTGGCTCAGAGTCATATTTCTATAATGACAAAGAACTTCCATAACATTAAGGTCCCATTTCATCCAGGAGACTGTTACAGGAAATAAAAGCTGTGCTATGGAGAGTGATGCTTATCTACCTTTCAAACAAGCAAACACACTGATCTGAGCAGTTGCCCAAGGAAGACCTGTTTCCCTCTTACCTCTGTGTTCTTACAGACTTGGTTGGGTTTCTCAACTTCATCAATGCTATCAAAGTTTAAAATAATCAATGGGGCTGAGAAGGTGGCTCAGTGGTAGAGTGCTTGCCTTGCATGCTCAAGGCCCTGGGTTCGATTCCTCAGCACCACATAATCAAAAAGAAAAACGCCGGAAGTGGCGCTGTGGCTCAAGTGGTAGAGTGCTAGCCTTGAGCTGAAGAGCTGAGGGACAGTGCCCAAGCCCAGAGTTCAGGCCCCACGACCGGACCCAAAAAAAAAAAAAAAAAATCAATGTAGCCGAGTGCTGGTGGCTCATGCCTGTAATCCTAGTTACTCAGGAGGCTGAAATCTGATCATAGTTCAAAGCCAGCCTGGGCAGGAAAGCCCATGAGCCTCTTATCTCCAATTAACCATGAGAAAACTGGAAGTGGTGCTGTGACTCAAGCCCCATGAGACACACACACATTAATGTACACCTGCACCTAAATTCTGATTCAAGTCAGTGAAAAAGAACTACTGTGGGTGGTGTTTGGGGGTCTCATGGCTATACTGGTCACCTTGTGACCTACTTTTATCTTTGAAATAGGTAGGACTGAGCCCCACTGTGGGACTCGTATCTCACAGGCTCCAAGAAATATACTTTTGCACAAATGCCCCTTCACAAGCTACGCTGTGGTCATTGGTGCTGTTCATCAGATGTTTGCGCTTTCCTTCTGAGAAGAAGGTAGCTATAGAACTTGTTCTGGTCAGAGATGTGTGCAGGGTAATATTCATCGCTCCATGTGTAAACCTGAAGAACTTATATGTAATTTACCTCATTGTACATTATTTCCCCACCCTAAAGATGGTGTAGGTTCGTCAAGATAGGACCTCTGTCAGCTGAGGTCTCTGAAAATCCATAATGAGCAACAGGCCACTTGTCAAGGGAAAGACTACAAATGACAAGCAATGTACTTTGGTCAGGCTGAACCAAATAGATTTTTGGACCACTAGTTACTGAAGCATACGCTGCCAGTCTTAGTATCTGACCAGCTTCCAGTCTGGTCCTGTGATTCTGTGGGATATTGTATAGAAACTGTACTCTCCATCAGTGGCCCTATGGGAAAGAATATTTCAGAACAAAGTCTCAGAGGAAGCTCTGTTTCCTCAAGAAGCCATTATATTTTTTCCTCACAGAAACAAAGAAGTATGTTTCTAATCAGGTCTCCCATTCTGGACATACATGTGGTACAAGTTTCTCTTTCCTAGTGTCTTAACATTTTACTTCTTTTTCTAACACAGTATAATCTTATTGAACTCCTGTATTAGACTGATTGTGTTGTGAGGTGAAACTGTACTAGGCTGAAGTCTTAATAAGGTAGTAAGAAGACAAGGGCTCATTCCAATTCTGGCCAATATGTGTTATGCAGAATAAAATTCCTTCAACCTGTATGAATGAATGGTTGGCCACAGGAGAAGCTTGTCAAGAGATTAAAACCTAAGGCTTCTGCTGCCAAAGAATGCTGAGTCCCATGACTGAAACCATACATAAAAAGGCTGAGCTGGTGGCTACAGTCAGGAGAATTTTGGAAGTGATACACCCATTACCCGTGCCTTCTACTTACACTGGTCCACATAGCTCGTCCATATAGCATAGCAGAACTACTGTTGAGAAAGGAAAAGTGAAGGGCTTCATCAAAATTACCTTAATCCTTACTTCTTTCTCAGTTTTCTTTTGCTTATCTGCTTCTTTTCTTTTATATCTTTCTTCTTCCCTTCTTTTTCTTTTTTCTTCTTCCCGCAAGCGTTTTTTTTCTAATTCTCTCCTCCTCCGTTCTTCTCTCTTTTCTTCTCGAATTCTCTAAATGTATAGGCAAATACATGGATAAATATTCTGGATGGAAATTCAGACACAGAAGGTCAGTCACCATGTAAAATGTCATACCTACCTGCTTTTCTAATTTTCTATTCTTAATATATTCCAAAAGAGGTGTGGTTCTTCTAGCTAAAACACACACAAAAAATATAATGTATCATATGTAACTTCTAAAATGAGGTATTTTGTTTATTTACATATTTATTGTCAGTTGTAGGGCTTGAACTCAGCCTGGGCACTGTCCCTGAGCTCTTTTACTCAAGACTAGTGCTCTACTACTTTGAGCCACAGCACCACTTCCAGTTTTTGAGTGGTTAATTGGAGATAAGAGTCTCACGGGGACTTTTCAGCTCAGGCTGGCTTTGAACCATGATCTCAGCCTCTTGAGTAGCTAGCATTACAGGTGTGAGCCACCAGTGCCCAGCGAGATTTATTTTCAATACTTGCTTTCAAGTTAATCTTTAGAATAATTAGGGGAAGACTTTATTTGTATTTATGCAAATTTATCCAGCACCTATATGGGGAGCTGTTATCCCATTACTATAATTCAAGTAGTTTTTGGAGGCATCAAAAATTTTGTATCTTGTGAAGGATAGATGAGACCCTTGTACACAGAATATGAACAACCATATAACTAACACTAACTCAACAAACATAAGCATTATCACCTAGAGCATACTGCTACATACAGGCACTATACTGAGTGTTTTTACACTTGGTATCTCATGAAAACCTATGAAGTTCCAGAAGGCGGTTCGTACCAAGTTTTACAGCTGTTCTCCGATCTGTCTATTCCAAAGACCCTGAATACATCAGCTTCTGTCAATATAAGCTTGTTACAATTCCATTTAACTCTTACTCATTAGACTGAGACTTCACTGAAGGCCAGAAGCTAAGTGAAAAACAAAAAACAAAAAATGGGCAACTGCTACGAACTGCTTGATAAAAATTCTAATGCAATGGGAAGAAACAGGAACCACAGAAATGGGCTCCATAGCCTAGCCTGTAATAAAGTAAATGCTAACCTAACAACTAGTGAACTTGAGTCCCTGGCACTTCATTTAACTAGTATTACCTGTGCAACACATACTAAGCAAGATGCTGAAGCTGACAGAAGGGGGCAAAGGCCTTCCACAGGAATGCAGCAAATGGTTTGTCTCAAAACCACCCCATAGTGACAGACCCCATCCAAAAGAATACTTAAATGGAGTAAAACACAGAAGAGCACAGGAGGTGAGTTCTAAAAATAATATCTAAATTGCTTTTGCTAAATTGCTTTTGCCATGATCCTCAGCTGCGTGCTGGTGGCTCACACCGGCAATCAGGAGGCTGAGATTTGAGGATTGCGGTTCAAAGCCAGCCAGAGCAGGAAAATCGTGAGACTCTTATTTCCAATAAACCACCAGAAAACTGGAAGTGGTTCTGCGGCTCAAGTGGTAGAGCACTCGCCTTGAACTAAAGAGATGAGGGACAGTGCCCAGGCCCAGAATTCAAGCCCCATGACCAATCAAAAAAAAAAAAATTGCCATGCTCCTAACACTATTTCTCTCCACCTTCCCTAAGTCCACCATCAGCTAATCTGTTCAAACCAAATCACTAGCATCTTTAGTGCTTTCTCTCCCCTATCTCCTACAACCAATCCTACAACCAATCCATCCATCATCTACTGGAAGTCTATTTAACTTCCAAAACAAATGCTGCATCTGTCAGTCTAGTATGAGCAACTTACCCTGGGGGAGCAAGAACCTCCCAGCCTTGCTCTTGGCAGAACGAATAAATCAGCCCATGCTACTCCCCAAAAGGAATCCCAACCCTTCTGCCCAGACACCAGGCCAATACTAGTGTTCCCCATTCTGCTCCAACCATGTAAGCTTACTTGCTACTCCTACAAAGCTCCAGCTTCAGGCCTGCTTGTTTATTTAACAAATATTTAGTTCCTAAGCTTCTCAATCCTGTGACTATGAAGATGAAAACGTGGTTCTGCTGGGCAAAGTGGGGAGATGCATGGAGCAGCGAGATCGAATGCTGTCAACAGTGTGACTGTTGAAGGGTGAGCAGGATCTAGCTGTGAGGCAGGAGGTAGAGCCTTGTGGTGGTGGAACACACAATCAATAGAGAAGGCAGACCCCATGTGGGATGAAGGCATCAAGCCTGGTGATGAATGAAAATGCTCTACATCTACGCAGTGGAGTTCTGGTGACTGCAATAGGACATAAAAATTTCTAAAACACACGACTTTTGGGAGAAGAGCAAAAGGTTGGATTCAGACGAGATCTAGTACATTCACAGTGGTATAGCTGGAGACCAAAGATTGAATTCAAACAGGATTCTATGGTCCTGCTAGGTTGTAATGTTGGTTTGTTTTGCAACTGACGGGGTTGATATTCTTTTGAATGGCATTAAGGTAGCTTCTTCTTTTCTTTTTCTTTTTGTCTGTCATGGGGCTTGAACTCTGGGCCTGGCACTGTCCCTCAGCTCTTCAGCTCAAGACAAGCACTCTACCACTTGAGCCACAGCACTACTTCCGGTTTTCTGGTGGTTTACTGTAGATAAGAGTCTCATGGACTTTCCTACCTGGGCTGGCTTCGAACTGCAGTCTTCAGATCTCAGCCTCCTGAGTAGCTAGGATTACAGGCGTGGGCCAACAGCGCCCAGCTGAAGGTGGCTTCTTATGTGAAGAAAGCATTGCATCTCTATGGGGTCCTAATACTTGACCACAACTGCTCTTTCCAAAGACCCCTGACTCAGCTCTGTGACACAAACCCCTCCTGATACCAGAAAGCACATATACGTGTCCATCAGAAGTACTGTTGCCTAAAACAAAGTGATCACTGGAAACTCAAGACATTCCATCAACAAAGACTCAGAAGTATTCTCCTAAGCTGACATCCTTTTGTTAAAATTAGAACATACATTTCTGCCAAGCCTGCAACAAACTGAGATTTTACTATTGTCATAAAAAGGAAAATTAGGCACCAGGGCTCACACCTGTAATCCTACCTACTCAGAATGCCGAGGCCTGAGGCTCTTGGTTTAAAGTCAGCCCATGAGACTCTTATCTCCAATTAACCACTCAAAAACCAAAGTAGTGCTATGGCTCAAATGGTAGACTGCTAGCCTTGGGCACAAAGAGGCAGGGGGACAATGCTCAGGCCCTGAGTTCAAGCCCTACAACCAGCAACAAAAATAAATTTAAAAAATTTTTTAAAATAAAAGAAAAATTAAGTTCATACTCCATAACCAAGCATCTCAGTAAATAAAGAAAAAAGTATGAGAAAAACAGACCAAAGAGTTCTCTTGTCTTTGCCTCTATCTCCCCTAGAAGTGTCTCAGGATTGGCACTGGTTTTCTCTTCCTCCACACTGTACATTTCCAAAAACTGTTTATAATCTGGATCTGTAAGTATGAAAAAGAAAAGAATGAAAAAAATAATAAACATTTTTTTGGTCGGTTGTGGGACTTGAACTCTGGGCTTAGGAGCTATCCCTCAGCTCTTCAGCTCAAAGCGAGCGCTCTACCACTTGAGCCACAGCGCCACTTCCGGTTTTCTAGTGGTTTATTGGAGACAAGAGTCTCACGACTTTCCTTGCCCGGGCTGGCTTTGAACCGTGATCCTCAGATCTCAGCCTCCTGAGTAGCTAGGATTACAGGTGTGAGCCACCGGTGCCCAGCTATAAACATATTTCTCCCCAACTACATGAGTGGAATATTTGATCAAGGCATTAAACGTGGTGGCTCTCAATCCAGCATGGAAAAAGGCTCACCGTCTTCGATGCTTCCAGTCTTGGTATCCTTCTTCTTCAGCTTCTTTTTGGCTATCTTCTGGAAGGGAGCAAACTCCACCACTGCAGGATACTCCAGGCCTTGAACCAAGACACATTCCAAACACTCACTAATCTGAAACTCTATTATGTTCACTTGGAAAATGACATCTAACTTATTAAAGGATGATGATAAGACAAACTATAGGAGGAGTAATGTTTATTAAATCAAACGACTTATCATGAAGTTATGACATGCCTGGACACATTGAAAACATCAAACTTCTTTTATAGGGGTATGTCTTACACCTCAATAGGCCCAAACAACTTATCAAAGGAATACTTGAAGTTATTCTTAAATATTTTTTATTTTAAAAGGTTAATTCTAGTATCAATCTGTTATATACACTCAAGGAAATGACTGCACTTACAAGCATGAGAAAAACTGAGAAGGGTATATCTCATGCTTTTTACAATATCTATTTTAATTTAAAAAATGAAAAAGGTCTTTGTTATGCTGGTGGGGGGGGGACACACAGAGAATGTTCACTGTGACAATCCATTATACTCTTCATCAATGCATAGAATATTTCCACCTCAGTGACAAACCCACTGAGCAGTCATTTTCAATCATGTCAGTAATACTCAGAAGATTCTGACAATTCTCATATAGAATACATTTTGTAGTTAATTTCAACTATCCAGAATAATGAGAATGAGAAAGATAAAGGCATTCTATTGGCAGGGATAAAGCCAATTTCTTTCTAGATGCCCACAGTGCCAGTACATGATAAATAGGTAAATACCAATTACATGGCAGTTGACAGTCCCTCATTTCAAAACCTGATTACAAAGTACAAAAATTCAAATAATACAGACACAGAAACACACACTAAGGAAATACAACAGAAGGTCCAGAAACTCCTTTAATAAATGGTTAAATGATTTTCAGCAAAATGCCAGGGCCATCAACAGGGAACGATATTTCAAACCAATTGTGCTGAGAAAACGACATCTACAATACAAGAGGAGGAAGGTGGATCCTTATCTATTAACACAAAAATCAATTAAAAATGGATCAAACCTGTACAAATTTTAGAACTATAAACTCTTAAGGAAAAAAAAAGAGCACGGAAAAAAAAGAACAAGGAAAAGGCCTATAACTTTACATTTGCCAAACATTTCACAAATGTAACAACAAACTTTACTACGTCAAGATAACTCCCATGCATCAAAAGACACAACTACATTGAGTGTAGTGACACATGCCCATTAATCTCAGCTACTCAGGAGACACAGGCAGGAGGATTTAAAGATGCAGGCCAGGGGCTGGGAAGGTGGCTCAGTGGTAGAGTGCGTGCCTTGCATGCATGAGGCCCTGGGTTCGATTCCTCAGCACCACATAAACAGAAAAAGCTGGAAGTGGCGTTTTGGCTCAAGTGGTAGGGCGCTAGCCTTGAGCTGAAGAGCTGAGGGACAATGCTCAGGCCCAGAGTTCAGGCCCCATGACCGACAAAAAAAATAAAATAAAAAAAAATAAAGATGCAGGCCAGCCTAGGCAAATTTAGCAAGACCCTATCTCAAAAACAAATAAAACTAAAAGGTCTGAGGATATATCTAAAGTGGTACAGAATTTTCATAGTGAGCAAAAGACCCTGACTTCAATCCCTAATGCTGAAAAAAATAAAGATATAATCAACAGAATAAAAAGGTAACCTATGGGAGAAGGTATTTGCAAAAAATACATCTGGTAAGAGTTCAATATCCAGGATATGAGGAATCCCTGTAATTCAACAATAAGAAAATAAGCAATTCTATTAAGAAATGGACAAGCTGGGCATTGGTAGCTTATGCCTGTAATCCTAGCTACTCAGGGGGCTGAGATCTGAGGATCGTGATTCAAAGCCACCCCAGGCAGAAAAGTCCCTGTGAGACTCTTATCTCCAAATAACCACTCAAAAACCAGAAGTGGCAGTAGCTCAAACTGGTAGAGCACTAACCTTGAGCAAAGAGCTAAGCGACAGTACCCAGGCCCTGAGTTCAAGTCTCACAACCAAAAAGGAAAGAAAAGAAAGAAAGAAAGGGAAAAGATGTGTAAGCACACAAAAAATTAGTTTCCATCATACAACAGAATACTAGTTAGCACTAAAAAGGAAGGAAATGCTATAATATGCTATGACACAGATGAACCTGGAAGACATTATGCTAAATGCAATGAGCCAGTCCCAAAGACAAACATGTGTGATTCCATTAACATAAGGTATATAGAACAATCAATTTCAAGCTGGTGGTTCACACCTGTAATCCCAGCTACTCAGGAGGTTGAGATCTGTGAGGATCATGGTTCAAAGCCAGTCCAGGCAGAAAAGTCCTCCAGACTCTTATCTCCAATTCACCACCAGAAAACTGGAAGTGGTACGTACTGTGGCTCAAGTGGTAGAGCTCTCGTCTTGAGCTAAAAGCCCAGAGTTCAAGCCCCATGACCAAAAAAAAAAAAAATTCAACTTCATATCATAAAACTAAAAAGTAGAATGGAATTACAGGGAGCTAGAAGAAGAGAATGGGGAATTAGTGTTTAATTGGTACTGGGTTAGCTTTGCAAGATGCAAGTAAGTCTTGGTTATTGGTTGTAGGAGATATATATATAGTCAACATAAGTAGTGTCAAGTACAGTTAACTATACATTAACACAAAGAAAAAACGGGTTGTGAGCACAGGCCAAGTAACAGAGCACTTAGTTAACAAGCATGAGTCCATAGTACCACCACACACACACACACACACACACACACACACACACACAAAAGAAAAATTTTTAAAAAGGAAAAGATAACAAATTTTGCTATGAGTATTTTACCAATACTTAAAAAAGATAAAGGAAAGGTAGGTACTGAGCAATTAACAGGAAAATCAAATCGTTTCCACATTAAATTTGCTACTCTTCACTATTCTCAAAATCTATTTCTTAGCTTTTAGTTAATCACTCTAACAATCTTTTCAAGTTTGTAACCCTTTGGTGGAGGAAGGAGAAACACTGCTAGGTTATGGGGGTGGTAATGGGAAGAGGTTGGCTGGGCATCAGAGACAGAAAATAGCTTGTTGTAAAAGGTCTACAAACTTGACAGCAGAGATTATATCATAGGACAGTCCGAAAATCATCAAAACAGACCCAGAATATATAGGGAAGTGTACCTGTTTCCCTATAGGGAAGACTGCTTAATGCTCATCATGACTAATGTTCATGACCTCAACCATTTCCAAAATATTATTAAAAAGTGTACAAACTTGAAGAGTGGTACTCTTAACATTACAAGGGTAGATTAAGTATTGAGTACACTTCAGAATATTTTTATCAATCATGAGTAAAATAGTTCAGATTTAGAATACAAAAAGTTCATTTATTCAGAAAACTCACTTACAATGATGCAACACAATATTTATGGAAATTTTATAACTTTATTTCTAATGTAAATATATGGCACAGTAAGAATAGAAATTTATGATACTTAAATGTATCTAAGAACTTTTTTCTTTTTTGTTGGTCATGGGGCTTGAACTCTGGGCTTCAGTGCTGTCCCTGAGCTCTTCCGCTCAAAGCGAGCATTCTACCACTTGAGCCACAGTGCCACTTCCAGTTTTCTAGTGGTTGATTGGAGATAAGAGTCCATGGATTTTGCTGCCTAGGCTGGATCTGAACCTGGGTCCTCAGATCTCAGCCTCCTTAGTAGGTAGGATTAAGGTGTGAGCCACCAGAAACAGACTAGAGCTTCTTAGTTAAAAATCCACAAATATTCTAGCCTAACTTCAATAGATATAGATTGTGATAAAGAAATTAATAACCAATAATCTAACCTTTATTGCCAATGAAGATATATCCATCAAAACGGTCTCTGAACAGAAGAATGTCATCAGGATTTCTAAAATTAATGTATGCTCTTGAGTAGAGATGAGGATAAAGACTGAAATTTGAGATAGCAGTAAAAAATGATTAGAAAAACGTAGGGCTTTAATTTTACCAGTCTTGCCTTTTCTGGCTACAGCAAACTCTTCAGACAAAACATTATTGCTAAACAATCATCTCTCAGTTAATTATAACAATTTCCATATTCTTCAGCAAAAACAAAAGTGAAAACAAACATAAGCAAACCATTAACTAGTATTTTTGTTTATTCAAGAGAGACAATTTAGGTCAGGTTCCTTACTGTACAGAGCCAGACTTCACATCTGGACAAAGGCCAGATAAATCAGAGGTCATTCCTGGTGCATCAGGACTAGAATGATACGTGATTGAACTTACTCATCATAAGAATGTTCCCTGGGGGAGATTCTGATTTAGATCACTATCAGGTGCTTCATGGGTAGTGTGGGACTACAGGAAAAACAAATCCTCCTCTACATCAGAAGAGCCATTCCTTTCACAGGCAGCAACATTCAGTGCATTTCACAGAAAAGCTCGGAAAATGGGTATTTACTGAGGGTGTAGTAAAAGTCCTCTTTTGTTTCTGAACTTCAGAGTTATCTGTATCTTTTTAAAACGGCATCTATGTTTAACAATTACTTTTCTTTCTTTCGTTTTTTTTTGTCAGTCGTGGAGCTTGAACTCTGGGCTTGGGTGCTGTCCCAGCACTCTTCAGCTCAAGGCAAGCGCTCTACCACTTGAGCCACAGCGCCACTTCCGGTTCTCTAGTGATTTATTGGGGATAAGAGTCTCACAGACTTTCCTGCCTGGGCTGGCTTTGAACTGAGATCCTCAGATCTCAGCCTCCTGAGTTGCTAGGATTACAGGCGTGAGCCACTGGCACCCGTCAACAATTACTTTTCTTTGAATAGACATTATTGCTACAGTCCAAAGGAAAATCTAGGATTGCCATGAGTGAAAATCGAAATCAGTATACTCTGGTTGTGTTACCACCTTCCACATCGTGCTTTACAACTACCTTAACTAGAGGGATCGGGAAAAGCTGAGAGCAGGGCCCTGGGGTCTGTCATCTGCTCGGCCAGAGCCTTGGGGTCTATCACCTGCTCAGCCAGGGCCTTGGGGTCTGTCACCCACTTGTGCAGGGCCCTAGGGTCTGTTACTTGCTCATCCTGGGCCTTGGGGTCTGTCACCCACTTTTCCAGGGCCTTGGGGTCTATCACCTGTTCATCCAGGGACCTGGGGTCTGTCATCTGCTCCTCCAAGACCTTGGGTCTGTCACATGCTCGTCCTGGGACTTGGATCTGTCCACCCGCTCGTGCAGTGCCCTGGGGTCTGTCACTTGCTCATCCAGGGCCTTGGGGTCTGTCACCCGCTCGGCCAGGGCCTGGGGTCTGTCACCTGCTCCTCCCAGGGTCTTGGGGTCTGTTACCTGCTTGTCCAAGGCCTTGGGTCTGTCACCCACTTGGCCAGGGCCTTGGGTCTATCATCCGCTCATCCAGGGCCTTGGGGTCTATCACCCATTTGGCCAGGGCTTTGGGGTCTGTCACCCACTTGTCCAGGGCCTTGGGCTGTCACCTGCTCGTCTTGGGCCTTGGGTCTGTCACCTGCTCTTGCAGGGCCTTGGGGTCTGTCACCCACTCAGCCAAGGACTTGGGGTCTATCACCGCTTGTTCAGGGCCTTGGGGTCTGTCACCCACTCGTCCAGGGCCCTGGAGTCTGTCACCTGCTCTTCTAGGACCTTGGGGTCAGTCACCTGCTCGGCCAGGGTCTTGGGGTCTGTCACCTGCTCATCCAGAACCTTCCCTCTGTGCAGTGTTAAGACAGGTGTTGGGTATGACGCTTGAACACTTTTGCCAAGAATGGAAGGAAAGGCCGTGGGGAGGGGCTGGTGACAAGCACTCCACTCTCCATGCAGCTCCAGACGAAGCCACTCACGGAAAACCCAGGAGCGGCGGGGCCAGGGCTGGGGGCCGGTTCGGCCCGTCCCTCACCCCCGCCACTGTCTTCTAGCCCTCACCTGACGTCCGCGGCGACCACCTCGAAGTAATCGTGTGCCGGCAGCGGCCGCAGCAGCTCCTCCAGTCGCTCCTTGGTGAGGCCGGGGGGCAGCCGACGGAGGACCACCTGGGGCGGCGCGGGCCGGTCACGCGCGCCCTCTGCGGAGGGGCCTAGAGAACCGCCAGGCCCGGGGCG